ACAGCATGCATACTTTGCAGCTGTTGACGCAGTGGTTGCGGGAAGAGATTGAGTTAGTTGATAAGCATGTGCCCAAAACAGGCTGAACATAAATATGGTTTAAGACCATGATGATCTTCCTGACATTCAGCCGACAAAATTCGGCAAACAATTTATAAGTCCGCTCCGGTGGTGACGGAACATGCTCTTCCAGTGCCCCAAATTTCTGAGTATCACCGCTGACCCACAAATGGGACAAGCACACCGCCCCTGTAACTGGGCACTGCTGTGTGGTGTCGATCGGCCCAACCAGGAGGCGCTTGTCAGGCTGCAACAAAACCAAGGCACCCTTTCAATGAAGCCCTAGTCCTCTGGCATGTGTGTTGCTACATAAGCGTACAGGCCAACTGCGATGTAGCACACCACAGTCGTGGTCATAAGATCTTACGCTTTTTATATTTGTCAGCTTACTTGCACATCAATTAACATCCATGACAGCAATATGTAAAAGTATGACTCCTAAGACACCCATATATACGCAGACCCCTAAACATAAACATACGTTATGGACAGGCAACGACCAATTAGATCATGCATATATGCACACGCATGTAACACTTCTATACCTTCGAAATATACCAATACCACCACATGTTTCCTAGCGCTCGCTGGACGTATGTGCACTTGCTATCGAAGGCACTGACTAAGTCTTTTTAATGCGACAAATTTTCGGTTCTCAGTTCTTCTTCTGTATGTGCTGTAATATGTGTGATGCAAATTATATTTCAGAAATTAAAATATGTGTGGAGAGTCATACAGGCACGCCTGTATTAGGGCGCAGAGCACCAGGCCTGATATATATATATATATATATATATATATATATATATATATATATATATATGCGTATATATACACACATATGTGTGTGTGTGTGTGTATGTGTGTGTGTGTGTGTGTGTGTGTGTGTGTGTGTGTGTGTGTGTGTGTGTGTGTGTGTGTGTGTGTGTGTGTGTGTGCGTGCGTGTGTGCGTGTGTTATTTCAGAGCACCAGGTCTGTTGAGTCATGCCGTAGTTTTAGTGCTTTGATGAGATGGTCTTGGAAGCACACCGCGAGCACCCGACCGTCCTCGTTGATTTTTATATCGCACATTAATGGCGTGCGTGGTGCAGGTTTTCAAAAACGGGTCAAAACAAAGACATGATAGTTGCGTGCCATGTTGTAGGAAAATGCGTCTGAGTGCCGAAAAAGTGGGTAAAAGAGCATAAACTGATTGATTGTCTCAGGTCTGTGACGATAGACATAGTGAGGAACGGGAGATTTCTGGGTCCGAAAGAGATGTGCGTTGAGAGAGAAGCTGCCGTTTTCTATTTGGTCATGAAAGATGTCTCCAAACTCCGATCCGTATGGGGCGCATGGAAGGGGTTGACAAGAGCCAGTCATATTTGCTACAGGTTCTGACTTTTTACACAAGATATGTTCGTAATGCGTTTCTGGTGATCTGTTGTTGCCCGTTGTGTTTCTGTTTTTGTCGGTGTTCAACATGCGAGTGTTGTTTGGCATGCTGACGGATGAGTACAGCCTCTCATGTCATCACTCGTGCGTTGTTGTGCTGTTTCGTTCTCGTGTTTTTCCGCGTCAACTTTGTTTGGTGGCACTGTGCCATGTGTTGGTTTAGAGCGCCGCTTTTAACATTCATAGTAAGACCTCTGAAGAGAGAAGCAGACGTAACTCCAAGATCAATTATCCGACGTAGGCAACAATCTTGTTATGACTCCTCCATCTGGGATTGCCATTACTAGGGGGACGGCATTGGACAGGCACCTGGTCGGAAGTCGGCGTGGCAGGAACTGTAGCTGGAACCAGGAAATCGAAAATGCAGGTGCTGGACACCTCCGCTTAGAGGCCATTCCTTACTCCCAGGGGTCTCTCAAAAACCCGCCAGAAACTGTGGAGATGCGCACACATTCTTAAACGCCGAGCTAAGCCACGTAGACTGTTTTTTGGATTTCGGGTGCAAACTGGGTGCAAACTTGAATCCGGGGTGTGAAGGAAAAGGAAAAGGACCGGGAGGGGGCGGGGGGTTAGGCCTGTAGCATGTCCAACTGAATATGTAAAGGTATCCAGCGCTGTTGCTCTCTGTTCTATGGACTCACAGCTAGCTTGGATCTGTTTTTTAGGTACTTTTACTTCTGTTATAACAATAACTGTCTTGCCTCATCCTATACCACCTGTTCATTGCGATGTACCGCACATAACCTCTCTCTTATTTTCCTTCGCCATGCGATTGTCCTTAATGACGACCTTTGCTATGGCAATCTCTATCCTCACGATTTTTTGCTTGGCTTATTATATATTCGTTCCATTTCCTGTGCGCAAGCTTTTGCCGTGCAAGATTTGGCGTCATGCCATGTTTGGTCACGTTGCGTTTTTGTCCCACCTTATATTTACGACGTGCTTGCATTAAAATTTTGCCACATTATCTGTTACCCCGTGATCTGCCATACCAGGCATCCATTCACTAACAAGACACTTGAAGGTATGTGGTGGCGGAGGGTAAGACATCTGCCGCCGGCAATAGCGGTGCACTCCACCCAGCGATCACTCAGGCCTTGGGCTGGGATTCTCGTGACGCCGGGTGATTGAGGTCAGCATGCGTCTGATATACCCGTTCTCTTGCTCTTAATCGAGTCAAATAAATAAGCTCTGAAAAAGCAGACTCTTTCGACAGAAATATGAGCAGCTATACCTGTACACAAGGGCCAATCAAGATGGCCGGGTGGCTGTAACTCTGGCTCGCCGTCCGCCGCCGCCATTCGCTCGGGACTCAAGTCGGAGCCGGTGCGTGCCTTCACAACCCCGTGTCGGTTGGCGGGGATCAAGGGAGGGGTGGGGGAATATCACAGTCGGCACGCCCTGTCGGCTGCCAGACCGTCTGCGATCCAGTGACCTTACCCCAGCCAACTCGAGGTCAATTTGCCGGTCGCATGTCACCCCAAATGACCTTGGTCAACCCTGCCGGCAGGCTGTCTTACCGACAGTAGCGTGTCCGACCGACGACCCGAGGCACCTCCCCCCCCCCCCCCGCTGTGCCCGACGGACGACCCGAGGCGCCTCCCCCCTCCCTGCCGTGGGGAGTGGGGCGGGGGGGGGGGGGCGCCGCTGTGCCCGACGGACGACCCCTCCCCGTCCGACGTGTCCTCTGTCGATCTGCCGACCACGCGTGGCCCTTCGCACAATGAATAGCGGCGCGTATTTTTCTAGCGACGAATAAATATTCGAACGGACGCTCAAGAACCGTGGATGGATTTCATGGCGACGATGAAAAATATACAAGCGCTTTACTGATTTTGTAATTGCCTTGGTAACGGCATTAAAATAACATCGCAAAAGGCCATGCGTCACGCTGGTCGAGACGGAGCGAAACGCAGGGGAACCGATCTCCGGAGCAGCGGACCCGCAGAGGAACTGATCTCCGGAGCAGCGGACCCGCAGAGCAGCCATCTCCAGAGCAGCGGACCCGCAGAGCAGCCCATTTCCTGAGTAGCGGACCTGCTGAGGAGCTGATCTCCGGAGCAGCGGACCCGCACAGCCCATCTCCCAGAGCAGCGGACTCGCAGAGCAGCCCATCTCCAGAGCAGCGGACCTGCGAAGGAGCTGATCTCCGGAGCCGCAGCCCGCGGAGGAGCTGATCTCCGAAGCAGTGGAATGCGCTACACTGCCAAACACGTCCTTGCTTATAAGTTCGGTTCAAACCCGCCGCTAGGATGGCCGGAATAACACACATATCAGACATGAGTGCTGAGCGAGGCAGGACTGGGTCCGTCTCGCGGCGCGGCGGGCCACGGCAGCGGCGGAAAAGACGCATCGGCGCCGCGCCGGGATGTCGGCTATGATCGGAATCCGGTCATTTAAATATCGGCCCGGTGACCCCCAGCGCCCCTGGCGGGCGGCGCGCGCAGCTGCCGCCAGCTGACGCCGCCGTCAGAAGGCAGGCGGGCGCGGCCGAAGGCGGATGTGCGCGAGCGGCTCCTCCCGTTGGCAGCTGGCTAAGTGAGCGCGCCGCGGCGGTGATGTCAGTGCAGTCGACGTGCGCCTGAATGCACCCTGCTGGGACGCGCGGCGTCGCGATGGTGCCCGACGTGCCCCACATGTCGCTGGCGTTCGGCGAGCCGACGGCCGGCCTGCGAGTCGTCGAGACGACATGGCGGCCCGAGTCGACGGTGCTGCTCGAGCCGGCCAAGGAGTGCTGGAGGCGGCTGCGGCCCGAGTCGTGCGCGCCGCCCGTCCAGACGAGCACGTACCCAGGCAGGGCGGTGCCGTGCGCAGCTCCGCTGCGCTCCAGCCGCGTCAGCTCGTCATCGGACGCCAAGGACCTGAGCCAGCCGCTGTTCGTGGACACGACAGTGGAGTACGACCTGCCGAAGGAGGCCTACCCGCCGGAGCACAGCGAGCCGCTCCTGATCGTGCACCCGCAGTACTTTGAGCACCTGCGGCATCGGCGCACGCTCGGCGCCGGCTGCGTCTGTCAGCTCTGTAACTTCTACGGCCGGCGGATCCCTCACGGCGGCCAGGAGCCGGCGCCATCCGCTGCCTCCGCCGCCGCCGCCGCGCCTGTCGCACCAGAGACCTTCCAGAAACCGGATGCTCCGCACCACTGGCCGCGGTACCACCAACCGCACCAGCCGCCCTGTCAACTGCTGCACCAAGCGACGCACCCTTCGCTGCAGCAGCCGCTGCAGCACGTGGCGCCGCAGTCGCTTGCAGCCGGTTGCAGCAGCAGCTGCTGGCCGACGCCCGCCCGCTACAACTGCATGTTGGAGCGGTACGGCTGCGAGGCCGGCCGTTGGCGCGCCGGCCTCGTTCGTGACGCCCACTGTGAGCTGTGATTCGGACAGCGGCTACTCGAGCGTCGAGCTGGAGCCGCCCGAGTGGTGCCAGCGGCTGCAGCAGCAGCAGCAGCGCGCCGACAGTGACGCCCGCGACGTGCTGGCCAAGCGCAAGCGGCGGACCGACGTGTCCGCAGCCGGCGGCCAAGAGGCTGCGCGTCGCCTACTGGCCAGGTGAGGCAGGGGCAGCCGCAGGAGCCCGGCCGCAGGGCTGGCAGCGGGGGCTCGTCGTCAATCATGAAGCCTGCTTCACCGTAAACAGGTGCCAATTGGGACTTTTTCATAGCATTTCTGTGTCTAGCGTGAGTCATACTTTTACAGAGAAGTAGGGCCCACAGAAGCATGTAGGGCAGAAATGTAAGAATCTATGGCGAGCGTTCGAGCGGTGACGCTGTGCGAACCGCGCGAACCGGGGCATCGCTCACCGAACCGCTCAGTCTTGCTGTCGGCTGCAGCAACTGGAAGGTGATCTCTACCGTGAGTGTAAGGGTGCCCCAGTTCCTCTTTTTCGCTTACCCTTGTTATCGTAACGACGAGGACGTCTGGCTACTGACTCGAAATTAGATTGCGGCCTATGGACGCATTACGTTTGACGGCATGTAGGCTGCCGTTCGGGGTCATGCTTCTATAATCCCAAACAGCTGTCGCTGCCGGCGTCCGTGCGCAGCCCGCTCCGGTCGGTGCGCGTCGCGGCCGACCCCAGTGAGAGCGGCGGGCAGTGGGCTAATTCTGATCCCAGTGAGCCCGGGGGCAGTGGGCCGACTCCCCATCCAGCGAGCGCGGTGGGGCAGTGGGCCGACTCCGATCCAGTGATCGCGACGGGCAGTGGACCGACTCCGATACCAGTGAGTACGGCGGGCAGTGGGCCGAATCCGATACCTGTGATTCGCGGGCGGGCTAGTGGGCCGGCTCTGATCCCTTGTGATCGCGGCGAGCAAGTGGGCCGGCTCTGATCCCAGTGAGCACGGCGGGACAGTGGGCCGATCTACGATCCCTGTGATCGCGGCGGGCAAGTGGGCGCTGACCATGATCCCTGTTGATTCGCGGCGGGCAAGGTGGGCCGAATCCGATCCCTGTGATTCGCGGCGGGGCAGGGTGGGCCCCGACTCCGAATCCCTGTGATCGCGGCGGGAAGTGGGCCGACACTGATCCCTGTGATCGCGGCCGGGCGGGCAAGTGGGCCGACTCTGCTCCCAGTGATTCGCGGCGGGAGGCCAGTGGGCCGGCTCCTATTTCGCGGCCAGGATTGGACGGCTCTCGTTAATTTAATGCGGCCTTCAAATGAACTGGACTACTGCCAGCCCGCCGGGCTCGGCCAGCCAAAACAATAAGATGGCCGATCGATAGTTTTCCATGGCAGGGTCGATCGCCAGCGGTCGTGGAGCGGCCCCTGCCGTGGGACGCGCTGTCCAGCCGCCCGGCCACCGAGCCTGGCGCTCGGCCGACCAGGCCTGCGGGCTGCGGAGCCGGGCCCGGCCTCAAGGGTACTTCCCCGGACGACGGCCAGCCAGGCAGACGACCGATCCGCCCCAGGGTCTGGCTCGGATACAATCAGAGGCCGCCTGTCTGAACGAGCTTGAGGTCCTGTCAGTGGCCTGTCTGTCAGGGGTCCAGTCAGCGGCCTGTCTGCCAGAGGTCCTGTCAGCGGCCCGTCTGTCAGAGGTCCAGTCAGCGGCCTGTCTGCCAGAGGTCCTGTCAGCGGCCTGTCTGCCTGAGGTCCAGTCAGCGGCCTGTATGCTAGAGGTCCTGTCAGCGGCCTGTCTGCCAGAGGCCCCGTTAGCGGCCTGTCTGCTAGAGGTCCTCTCAGCGGCCTGTCTGCCGGAGACCCTGTCAGCGGCGGCGCCATTGACAATCGTCAGGACAGCAGTTTGGTCGGCAGTCCCGTGAGCGGTCGGGGACCATCTCGTCGCCGACGGCGATGGCCGTCTCGACCAACACTAGCTGATTGCCAGCTGGGATGACCTCTGCGTTGGATCCTCTGCCGGGCAATCGTGGCTTTGGCTGCGTCGGCAGCGAGTTTATCAGGGTATGCAGGCACATGGAGGCGCCGAGTCCGGCCAATCGCCGCCAGTGACGTCACGTGGGGTCTATCAGCTCATCTAAATACGGCAACACGTTCGGAATGAATCATTTCGTATGTCATTTGGATGCCTGCAGCGTCGGTAATCTTGTCAGATCGCCGACCAAATAAATCCCAACGTCAAGGGAAGAGAACGACGTGCAAGGAAAGATGACTCGGGCGGTGTGCAAGGGAAGAGGACGACCGCCAGGAGAGTAAGCGGTGAGCCGGGAACTGAGCAGGCGGGAGAGCGGACAGTGCCGTGGTCAGCGTATCATCCAGGCCACCGGGTGGGGTAGAGGTGGTCGCCGCGTGCTGCGGTCTCTGAGCCGCCGTATCTGCCTAATCAGCGGCGGGCCCCGAGCGGCGACGGCAGCTGGGGCCTCCTCTGGCCGCGCCAGTTCTGACCGGCCAGCGGCCGTACACCCCCCTCGGCCACGAGTCGTCCCTGGTGCGGCAGCCAGCCAGAGCTTCCAGCAGGCCTGTGATTGGCTGCTCTACGAACATCACGTCGTTGTTTCATCCTCACGCTGCCTGAGGTGGTTTGCAGTCGTGAGCTCGGCACTGCGGCTGAATGGTTTGAGCACACGTCTTTGGCGAGGTGCGACATTGCTATCCTCGCCATCGTCGCCTGACGTCATCACCTTACATCGCTTTTCTCACCGTCATCACCTGATGTCATCACCTGACATCGCTTTCCTCACCGTCATCGCCTGACGTCATCACCTGCCATCGCTTTTCTCACCGTCATCGCCTGACGTCATCACCTGCCATCGCTTTTCTCACCGTCATCACCTGACGTCATTACCTGACATCGCTTTTCTCGCTGTCATCATCTGGTACGATCCATCCCGGAAAGCGTGCTGTGTACCGTGACGTGTGAGGTCGTGCCTCTGGCCCTCACTGGAGTCTCAGGCGGCGGCGGTGGTGGCCACGTTGGCATGCTTCCTCGCCTGTCTGGCCCGGCCGTTTTTGACGATGGCTCGACACTGACTCACAGTCACGCCTTCAGCCGGGCAGCTGGGCAACCGGGCAGCCGGGCAGCCGGCCAGCTGTTTCGAGCACGGTGAGCTTGGCCTTCGGGTGAACACTAACGCATTGCGCCCAAGGGCGACTCGCGAAACTCATAACCAAAGAGACCGCTCTTAATCATCGGTGGCAAGTGCTCTGGGAGGTGCGCCATCAGAGGCGCTCATTAATCAGTCCGGACGGGAAGTGGTCTGGAAACTTTAACGGGAATGTTTCAAAGTTATGGAGCAGCCAACACAGCATGGCATCAGATTGCCTAGATTGTTCCATTCCGCTAAATTGGGTGTGCCGTGGTCGCATTCATAAATGTATTTTTGACCACGGTCCATCGAATCATCATGCGATCGCTGGGGTCATGTCAGTGTCACTGTAGCGCCACGAGTCTGCACAATTGCTGGGTCGGCGTGGGACGGCTGGTGGCAGCCTACCCGTGCCCGTGGTCGTGCCAGGCTGTCCGGCTGGCGGGTCCGCGGGGCGGCTGGCTGTCCGGCTGGCGGTCCGCGGGCGGCTGGCTGCCTGGCTGACGGTCCGCGGGCGGCTGGCTGTCTGGCTGACGGTCCGCGGGCGGCTGGCTGTCCGGCTGAAGATCCGCTGGCGGCTGGCTGTCCGGCTGCTCCTAGAGTCATGCCGCCACCGGAAATTAATGGGCCACCTTTCGTGACAAACGTCATTAGGGATAAATGAAGAAAGGAGGCCATTGCGTTGGAGTCGGCCAGCGGCGCGCCCGCCTGCTCTGAACGATGCCGGCCGAGCCGGTCGGCGGCGTGCCGGGAGGGACGCCGCCACCCCTCTTGCAGCAGGTCATCGCTGCCAGCGGGGCGTCTCACCACCAGACGAGCCAGTGGTCCGCCGCTGGGGTCGTCCGGGGCCGCGTGCCGCTCGATGCGCCAGAAAATGGCGTCAACCGAACGCCCGCGTGGAGAGAGGCTGGCGCCTGGGCGCGATGTGAGCGCCGCACGCCGTCGGGGCACCGCTCCCCGCCGCGTGGGGAGAGGCTGGCGCCCGGCTCGATGTGAGCGCCGCACGGCCGTCGGGGCACCGCTCCACCAGCGAAGGCGCCGCCAACGTTGGCCGCATCCCGTGACGGATTACGGTCCCCAGACCGGCGGCAGCGGCGCCGGGAGGGGAGGGGAGGGGAGGGGAGGACAGCTGGGGGTAATCAGCTGTCTGACCAGCTGGAAGGCGCCCATTCATTCTGTGCCGCGGTGCCTGGCGGCGCCTATTTTGGCGGGGGCCGTCCGTCTGGCGGCGTGCGACCAGTTCGGTCGCGCCCATCGGACGGCAGGGGTCTGTCGCTGACAGCGTCGCGTGTCCACGGGCGCTCCTGCTGGAAGCCCTCCCATGATCCACGGGCACCCCTGCTGGATGCGTCCCATGATCCACGGGCGCTCCTGCTGGAAACGTCCCATGATCCACGGAGACCCCCACCGACAGCACGCTGCACCTGCCTTTGCCGCCCACGCAGACCCCCAGCCCCAGCCCTAGCCTCCATCTCCAGCCCTAAGTCCGGCGCAGGGCTCGGGCTATCAGGGATGACGTAGTCTTCGAACGTGTACCGAGGCCACTTGAAAGCGCAAGCTAGCGTGCAGCGCGTGATTTTCCGTCTTCTTTGAGGCGAAAAAAGACTTCTCAAGACGTTAAAAGAAAGCATTTCGCGATCGCACATGAGGAAGAAACCATCTGATGCAGTTTTGCCGCACGGTAAACTGGGTGTACTCCGTGAGACTGAATACGATTGGGAAATCAGGCGATATTTTTACAGAAATCGTCCGGGGAAATCTATGTAGTGGCTGAAGGTCTAATGCATTCACCAGCTGAGCCTTCTCACGAGAGGAGGCAGGCCCGCGTGTCCCCCCCCCTCCCCCCCCCTCCTCCCCACCCCCCGAAACTGCAGCTGAGGGGGGCCCACCTGACGCGCGGCGGAGGGGCGGGGGACGGGGGAATGGAACCTTAGCCGGGGATAAAAACAGCCACCTGGACCCGGCCACCGACAGGCGGCCGACTCCGGTGACGCACGCTGACAATTGTGGGCAGAGGGGGAGAGGGGGGGGGGGGGGGCCTCAGATTGGGGCCGGCAGCCGGCCGGCCTGGGAACCCGCCCGAATCGCCGCTAATGAGCTGACTAAGCGTGGTGGGCCGCCCAGCCGCCAGCACTACCAGCAGCGCGTGAGCGCCGCTGCCTCGACGGCGGCCCGGGCTACCATGGCCCTGTGGCGAGGTGACGAGCGCCGGCACGCGTTGCGCTCATTCGGGTACACCACGCCACCCCTGTTCGCGCTTGTCACCTGGCCCCGTCTGTCGGGGTACACAACGCCACCCTGTTCGCGCTTGTCGCCTGGCCCCGTCTGTCGGGGTACACAACGCCACCCTGTCGGTGCCCGCCGCCTGCCCCAATTCGGCAGATGGCTGTCCTCTGTAATGACACTGTGATATGTCGTGATGTTTTCGCGGGATTTCTTGGTAGATTTGCTGCATGAAGATATCAGTCGTGGTCGTACCGCAGGGCCGGCCTCTGGGCGGGTCAAGCCGGCCGGCCGGTCGGCCGCGTGCCCGTCGGCCCTGTCCCGTCATGTGTGACAACAAAGGGCGGCTGACTGGCGTGTGGAGCACCGCCCGCGCTGCGCGCTGCCGGTGGAGCCGGGCACCAAGCGAGCGGCGCCGCCGAGGATGGCCTTTGAGATAAGCGTCCGTCGCGGGTCGGGCGCCGTGACTGCAGCCCGAAGGACTCGCCCAGCAGCGCGTGCGAGCGAGCGCGCCTGCGGGACGCCCCACGTCGTACCCTACCTTAGCGATTGGAGACGGCCGCCGGGCCGAAGCCGGCGCGCCATGTCCGTCCTGGAGAGGAGGGGCGTCGTAGGCCCGGGGGGCGTCACTGTGACCTGACACAGCGGTGCGGTGGTGTGATGGGTCGGTCGGGGGGCCGCAGGCCGGCGGTCACGCTCATGACAGCCTGGCACCGCGGTCCGGCGTTTGTGACGGCCAGGCGCCCGAATCCGCGCCGGCCGGCGGCGCGGCGTCACGGCAGACGGGCGGTAGACGCGAGCGCCGCTCAGCGACCCCGGGTTGCGGAGAGAGGCGCGGCGTCGGCGGCATCTCCCCTTAGGTCGCTCCCTCCGAACGCCGCCCAGTGCACCGACCGTGAGATTGGCTAAACTGCTGACGAGATTGTCCAATGGTGACGTCACCGTGGACCAGCGGCACAAGAGAGCCAACAGCCAGCTATCGGTCTCAGCGGAGAGGGTTCTCGTCCGCGGTGACCGTTCTCAACTCAAGTGTCTGCACACGACTCGGAGGAAAATGTCGGCGTCGAGTGCTCAGGTTCCGAGCAATGGCACCGGGCCGGACAAGCTGATGGAGGTCAAACACGTTTTAAGCGTGTCAATATTTAGCGGGATTACGTGGCGAGCGTGGCGTGACTGCCGGCGGCAGGTCTCGCCGGGCTTCGCCAGGCCTCGCCAGAATCTGCCACGTCAACGTCAGCGGTCAGAGGAGCGCCGCAGCGCCGCCGGCGGCCGTAAAAAGCCGCCTATCGTCGCAGCAGTAATTAAGAGCGCCGTAAAGTGGGGCAATTTACCTGCTTTATGGGCGAATGTCTCCCATTTTGCTCCTGTGGTGCGGCGGTGCGGCCCGAAATGTGTGGGTCGGCGCTCACCGGCCGCGCCCCGCCGCGCGGCGCTTTCTAACGCAGGCGGAGCTCGCCGCACGCCGCAAAGTCGGCCATAAACCCACGCCGGACTCCGGTGAGTGTGGTGATGACGCCGTGTTGGCCGGCGCTGCCTCAGGAATATGGCCGCATCGGGGCTGGGCGGCGGGCATGCCCGGTTACACCGTCGGAGAGGCGCCGGCGAGCAGTCGCTCCGCCCTAGCGTGCCCGACAGCTGATTAGTGTGACGTCATGGGTCGACGTCACCGGTCATAAAGCCTGCTGCCGAGTGAATGGCTCAATAGTATGTTTAGTGTCCGCCTGCCGGCCGTAAAACAGCGTCCATTTATCGCCAACGAGCGCTGCGCATGCCCGCCCCCCCCCCCCCCTCCCCCTTCGCCTGGGTGCCGGACGTAGGGGGAGGGGGCGGGCGTGGCGAAGATAACCGGCGTCTCCTGGCAGAGGCATGTCAGTTGACCAGCAGTCGGCAGGTCACAGGTGCACAAGCAACTATTCTGACGCTGCCGGCCGGCCAGCACCGAACGTCGTGCAGCAGACGGCGGCACCGTCGCCGGCACCACGTGCCTACCGCCGCTCGCTTAGGCCGCCTCGCGTCAGAGCCGCGGCTCCGGCCAGCCGTTTCCGGTGTGGATGGCCTTGCTTCCTGCCGGCGCCGGCGCTCGTGCCAGCGCCCTTTGTCGCTTCCGGCCAAGGCCGAGGTGGCGGCGCCGTGCGCGCTGTGTTGGAGCCGTTCCCCCGTTCCGCCCAGCGAGTCTGCATTAGACAACGGCCAGCACTACATGGCGCTGGGGCTGTGCCGACGTCGAGCGTCTCAGGCCAGAGGCGAATGCGGCGCTGGCGGTCGACGCACAGTTGTTTTGGGTGGCTGGGCGCGATACCAGTCGCAGAGGCCCCGCGCGCGAGCGGCTCGGCCCGTCGAATCGGTCATTGTTTCGCCGACGGCCTTGTCAGTATGATTTATCGAGTACAGAGCCTGCTCCTCGTCCTCAAAGGATTCATTAATGGATAAGCATCGATTTTCGAAGGCCTCGGGGCGGCTTCGGCTCACATCGATGCCAAGGCAGCCGCCCGCCGGAGGCTGAGGGCATACACACCCTGCGTCATCCGCTACCTCCCCCTCCCACGCCCGCGTCCCGCTCCTCTGTTTACCACTCCGCTCTCGCCGAAAACGAGCCGCTCCGTGCGGATAAGCCGCAGCGCGCCACAAAAGCCTCGCTGCGCCGCGTCCGCCGCGGCGGCGGCCGTTCATTTGGCGTTCCGTCCATCAGCGCCCTCGGTTATTTATCGGCGGGTTTTCCGCCGGCAGAGGGCACATCCATCGCCCGCCGATCCGCCCTTTCAGCCGAGCCATTCGTCGTAAACTTGGGCGGCGCTGGCGGTACTGTTTGCGCGGCGCTTTGGAGCGACGCCGCGGCGCGCGAGAAAGCGCGCGCTATTGAGCGTGGCGCGCCGCTCGGCCGCGTGGCGCGTCCGATTTCTTTACGACTCGCCGAAATTACGCGGTCCGTAAGTGCACTTAATGGCGGCCTTCGAATGCAATCGAGCGAAATACCCCTGTCATTACGGGCCGGGCATAATGCGGTCATTGACAAATGTAATCGCGCACAATTGCGAATTGTGACCACTCCAGATGTCGGGAACGGGCAATTTCCGTCGCCGGAAGTCTATTTTGGTCGGCTGGCGGTGGGGTTCTCTCATGGTGGACTGGCGTGGAAACGGGCAAGCACGCCCCAGCCCTGACTGCAGCCGGTTTTGTTCCAGGTGGCGTTCCGACGCTCGACATGGTGCCCTACCTCCACCGGCAGCCGGCCGTCATGTAGCTGCTCCCGGCTGCGTCGCGGCGGGCGGCGCCACTCTCGGCTGTGCGGCGCCGGTCTCCGGAGTTCGGAGACCTCGCCTCATGTCGCGGAGATCTCCGAGGATCCCGACCAAGGAGCGGGGTGTGGCTGCGAAGCGTCTCGCCGGAGACGCCCGCGCTGTCTCGCTCGAGAACGAGCGACCGTCTCGGGGGATCTCCGCGACGCGAATGGGCATACCGGGGGCCAGGCTCGGCCCGCCGATAGAAACCAGTCTTCTGTGATTACTCCCGTGTACTGCGTCTGCATGTGACGCCGTTGTGGCTTTCATAATGTGATGGTAAGGAGGACGAAGCCGAGTTAGCTTTAATTCGTTTACCGTTGATTTGGTGTTTGCGTTGCGTTACTTTTGCCAGGCAGCGTCCCACTGACGCCTAGCCGGCTGGACACCGGACTCGTTTGTTTTCAACCTTGTTATCTCATGGTGTAATGAACGTATATCAATGAGGCGACGTCCTCTGATAAATATAGACCCCGTGTCATTACTCTGACTGACGTTTTTCATTTGGTGCTCGGCTGGACGGCTTCCGAACCGGCTCGATGACTGCGCAGTCTGGCGCAATTCTTCGACCGCAGCCGTCCGTCTTCATTCGGTAAATTGGCGGCCACCTTCCCAGAACCGATGATTGGTGACCTTCAGTAAATCTGGCGTGGCTCTGACGGGTCCGTGGGGGGGAGGGGGAGAGACTGATTCAGCGCGCCGCTCCCCCGCTGGTACCGTAGCAATGTGGGTCTACGGGTCGGGGAAGGGGAGTTCCGTGCACCACTACCCCCGCCGGTACCGTGGTCTCCGGGTCGGCGGGGGGGGGGGGGAGATTCAGTGCACCGCGACCCCCACCGGTGCCGTAGCAATGTCGGCCAGTGTTCTGACGCCGACCTCACACTACTGACAACACGCCGCGCCGAGCGGGCCCAGCTTCGGCGAATCGTTCCCGGCCACCCCAGCTGAGTGTGGAGCGGACCCTGGCGCGGGGCGCGCTCGGCTTCCCCGAACGGCGCGGGGCAGCGCCGCCAACGCGACACGCGTCGTCCGAGTGATATAGCGCGCACGGCGGCCTGCTGTGAACGGCCACTGGAGCTGGGCCTGTCGTCCGCACGGGAAATTCAGAGACGAAATGACCATTGTAAACCCCATCAGCGCTAGACATTTGCCGGCGGCGGCAGTGGAGGACACGGCGGTAATTGCGCACGTTCGGTTGCGATCGTCCACAAAAGGGTGTATCTGGGGCCATCCAGCTGGCCAGCGTGCTCGCGTGCTGGCCTCTCAGCCATCCAGCTGGCCAGCGTGGTCGTATGCTGGGAGAGCCTCTCAGCCATCCGCGCGGCACTCACGCGCGCACGCACGCACACACACGGACAATCGAACGAGACGCGCCTGATGGCAGGCGGCAGGCAGACGGCTGCGGCATGAGAGCTTCACGTGGGGATCCTGCCGACGAAGACCATCCTGACTTGTGCGGTGGCCCACGTGGCTCGTGCTACTGCTTACACGGACATAGTGTAAGCACGGACACGACAATGACACACAGTGGCATGCGTGCCGCAATCGGTCGCGGTCCCGTCAAGTGGACGTTCTCATCACATTCTGTGCGGTTGCTGGTAAAGAGCATTGCTCACATGGGTTCGCTGGACCAGTTCCGCCTCAACACCCTTGAGCAGCAATAGATCTTGCTGACCATCCGGGCGCGGCTATACTAGGCTTGGAAAGGGGGTGGGGAATGCAGGGTTGCCAAAGGGTCACTGATGGTGAAAGCCCCCGCCCCTCTTAACAAAACAATTACCGGATACAGTTCACCTGATTTCGAGGGAGCACGATTTTGTCAATTTTAATTTCATTTTTGTCCCCTCTAACTGGGACACAAGCCGGAAGCTACCGGAAGACGCAAGACTGTTTATATTTTAGGATAGATGAAATGAAGGAAGATGTTTTAAATGGCCGCCTGGAATAAATCGAAGGTGCTATTCATTTTGCAATGGTGCAGTAGTCTCTGTCTGAACCGATAGCACTTAGAGACTACGCCATGATTTACATGGATTCTAAAATGATATTGAGGATCACAAGAACGTAGATTGTAGACCGAAATGCGGTCAATAATTTGTTTGAACATGGACAGTCTACGCTCGTCAACTGGTTTGACCCCGGGCGGGCGAAAATGATGACGTATCTGAAAGAAGTACCTTCGAACTGTTTAGGGCATAAATTCGTGCGTGAAAAACGGAGTTCGGGCGCATATTTCACTCAGGCGATTATGCGGTTGGTAATAGGGACGGATAAACATTCCAGCACCACAAATTAGTGCACGTGTCTGATGGTAGAATTGGAAGAGTACAAGCTGAATTTTTTGCGTTGCCATTGCAGGTATTAATCTGTTCAGAAGGCATCCTCAAAATTGTATAAGTGAAATATGCGCCCTAGCCTTATCTTTCAACTGCACGGATTCATTTTAAAGGACTTCCGAACACAATATTTCACGTGGTCTTTCTTGCGAGCCCAGCGTCCGCCGACTGGTGTTACCTGCAGCGGCCAACGCCGCTCAGTTTTACGTAAACTGCATCCCTACTGTCATCGGTGCTCTAGCTCCTAACATTGGCAGCGCGTTGGCTCAAAACCTTTGTTTGCAATTTGTTTCGCTAGTCGATTCGGCAACAAACTGGACGTCCTCTGAGAACCACGGATGTCCTTTCTCCATGTTTGACCTTTTGATTCACTTTTTGAATACTTGGACCGCTTACCTTCTCCGTGCAAGGTCTCCGCCGGAAAGAACGCCAGCGATTAGTTTGTATCAATCATGAACACCGCATTAATTGTTCCCAGCCGAGAGCTGAAGGGCCATTCCCATACCAGCGCGGGGTGCCTACCGGCCGCCATTCTGGCGACAACACGGTGGAATCGGTTCTCTCCTAGACGCGAAAGGCCCTCGGGCCGTGGTTTTAACGCAGCCATACTTCGGGACCTACGAGCACTTTGGTATTTTAATCGGGCCCTTTATCTTCCGTCCTGATGGGCGCTCCTAGTCCCTCTTCGGGCCCTTCTTCGGGCCACATCAAACACTCTCCCTGGCCGAGCCGGGGCCCCCTGCCAGCACGAGACCCCTGTATAGCGCTGTGGATCTCTGGCCGAAACAAGGGGGGCTGCTCACTGACTCAGGGGCCCAGACCAAAGCAAATCGCGGACCCAGGTCTCGAGCTGGCTTGGGAAATGAGCCCTCCGGCGGACACGGACGCGGAGCCGACTGTCGAGTACTGGCGGTACCTGACCAACGTAGAGGCCCTCATCGACTCAATGGGCCCATCAGCGCAAAGAGCCCTCTGACTAGCATTTGAGGGCCCGGCCCAGTGTGTCGGGCCCCTTTCATACGACCCCCAGGCCAGCTCTGTGGTCGCTGAAATCGTGGCTTAGAAGGGGGCGTGCCTTCCCGTTTGCGCCACTGCTGACCAGTACGAGGCAGCATCAGCAAGTGCCTCCCCCCCCCCCCCCCCCCCCCCCCCCACCACCAGCATCCCCTGACATAAAAGGCCCAAATCCACAATCCAAGCTTTCAGACAACCCACGAGCCTCAACAATCGCTCTTAGTATACTCAAGGCAACAGCAGTGGAGTTCTCCACCAACAACAGGCCCTTCCAGTAACATCGGCAGAGTTCTACTATCGCCATGGCAGCCCTCCATCAGCACCAGCGGAGCTCTCCGTCGGCAGCGCCCAGCAGGGGCCGGCGCCGGCCTGCTCAGCCGTCGTCCAGCGTGCGCTATCTCCTCCACTAATGCAACTCGAGAACTTAATGGTGTGTGTATAAAGATAAGGCGGCTTTTAGCGCGGCGGAAGATGGGGAGACAAGCGTTTCGCGCCAGCGCCAGCTGCCCGCATGGCGCTGCGAACTGGGTCGGCGGACGAGGTTTCCTGCCGACCGGCGCTGCCGCCGATGGGTGACAGCGTGCCGCGAGCGCGCGCCGAGCCGCGTACAGTGCACGGCGGCGAGTCGAAGCCGGCGATAACGTGCGTGCTGCACGGGACGGCCGCCGCGGGGAGGGGGTGACGCGCGCGGCGCGGTCAGGTGGAGCCGTGTGGTCCCGGAGTGGGGCACGCCGAGTGGGCCGCCCAGGAGTGGGCCGCGCCGGAGTGGGGAGCGCCGGAATGGGCTGCCCGGAGTGAGCCGCCCCGGAGTGGGCCGCGCCGAGTGGGGCGCCCCGGAGTGAGCCGCCCCGGAGTGGGCCGCGCCGAGTGGGGCGCCCCGGAGTGAGCCGCCCCGAAGTGGGCCGCGCCGAGTGGGGCGCCCCGGAGTGGGCCGCCCCGGAGTGAGCCGCCCCGGAGTGGGCCGCCCCGGAGTGAGCCGCCCCGGAGTGGGCCGCCCCGGAGTGAGCCGCCCCGGAGTGAGCCGCCCCGGAGTGAGTCGCCGTTAAGCCGCTGCTCATCCCGGCTGCGGGCTGGCCGAGCCGTGTGCGTCGGCGCACTAAACCGGCACAACATGTAGATGGCTGCGCAACCGCCCAGGGGCTCCTGCGGCGGCCTGCCGGGTGGATCTGATCGGTCCGGCCCGCCGACCGGATCTGATCGGCCGGCCTGCTGACCGACCGGATCTGATCGGCCAGCCTGCCGAGCGGATCTGATCGGGCCAGCCTACCGACCGACCGGATCTGATCGGCCTGCCTGCCGACCGGATCTGATCGGGCCGGCCTGCCGACCGGATCTGATCGGCCTGCCTGCCGACCGGATCTGATCTGCCGGCCGGGCCGAGCTCCCGCTGACAGATGGCCGCTGAGCGCCGCGCCGCTCGCGCTTTATCGAGCCTCGGCGGCGCTCCGGCGCGGCCCATGCATCATCGTGTCAGCGTCCCTCGGCGCAGCCGGGCCGCGGCGTGACGAACGCGGCGCACCGATCGGCGCAGATCGCCGCCGCCGGCCGCACCGCCTAATTGGTCACGGCAGCATCTGTCGCGTCCATCCCTATTGGTCGTGGCGCTATCTCGCGCGCTGGCCCCGCCGTCTCGGCCGCCGCTCCCGTCGCCGCCTCAGACTGAGCGCGCGGCGGCCGCGCTGGGCGGCTGAGAGGTGGCCGACGTGACGCGGAGCGGCGCGCCGCTGCCGCCGCCTCGGCACGACGGCAGCGGCGAAAGGCGCTAAAACTAGCAGCCTCGCATGCGCCACCACCATCAGCGGTTTAATGCGCGGGAAAATACCGCTAAACAGTCGGGAAATGTGGTGCGATGTATCACACGAATACCGGCGGCGGCGGCGGCCCTGCGAGCGGCAGCACGCGGCCAGCCTGGATTGGCTTCCGGCCCGGCTCTGCCCGGCGTGCGGCAGGCAGAGCGGCGGCGCCCGGGTCCCTCGATCGAGAGTGCTGCCCGACCCACCGTAGAGTAAGGTGCCAGAGAGCGGCCGACATCACCGGCCTCCTCCTCCACCCACAACACCCGAGCATACCGCCGATGACACATCTGCCCTGTTGACGAGCAGCTGAGACTGGGATTCACCGTGCGGTCGGCTCCGATTCTG